TGAGATGATCCTTGAAGAAGTTCTACCAATTCCCGACGCAACCGAGAATATGACTTCGACCTCCGACTCTTACTACATTGAAGACTCTAATACGGTCAACAAGCCACCTTATTTCAATGGAGCAAGTTATGCATATTGGAAGAATGGGATGATCCTTGAAGAAGTTCTATTTTATGCTTTAAGCCCGGATGAATATGGAAGAGTCTGTGCTTGTTCAAATGCCAATGAGATATGGAACAAGCTCCAATTCACTCATGAAGGAATCAATGAAGTAGGAGAAACTGAAATTAGTCTTCTCAATCATAGCTATGAGAATTTCAAGATTACCTTAATGAAGACATCAAAGCTATGACGGATAGATTTTCCGTGATTGTCGATGGTCTCAAGGGATTTGGAGAAGTTATCCCTAATGAGAAATTTGTGAGGAAGATGATTTATTCTCTTCCAAAGTCTTGGAAATCGAAGAAGACGATGATCATCAAAGCTAAGAACATAAAGTCTCTCACTCTTGATGAGCTTATTGGTTCTCTTCTCACTCATGAGTTTATGGTAAATGAGGAAGCAAACAAAGAAAAAGAATATGAAGAAAAGAAAAACATGAAGAAGAATAAGGTAGGCATTGCCTTCAAATCCACCAATGAGAGTAATCAAGACTCAAGTGAAAAGGTGGATGATGATGAAGAAGAATAAGAGATGACGAAGCTCTTCAAAAGATTCAAGAGATTCATGACTTCTAAGGAAGTGAAGCATGAATCAAACAAAAATAAGGGTCCCCCGATGTGTTTCGAATGTCAAAGAACGGGACATATCAAGTATAATTGTCCCCTCATAAAGAAGAATGGATCAAGTAAGAAGAAGGCATTTGTGGCGGCTTAGAGTGATGAAGATGACTCCAATGATGAAGATGAAGTAGCCAACCTATGCCTTATGGCCATTGAAGAAGATTCAATGGTAACTTCTAACTCTAGTGATTTAAACTCTTATTCTTTTAACGAGTTACAAGTTGCCTATGATGAATTATATTTGGAATTTGAGACCATAAATTCCAAATATAAGAAATTGATTTCAAAATTCAAAGTTGAAAATGATTTTCTCTTGAAAGCAAAATCGGATTTTGAAAAGCAAAATGAAATTTTGAAAAACGGTTTTGAGCTTTCAAAAACCAAAATTGAAGATTTGGAAAACGAAAATCTTGAATTGAAAGTTAAGCTTGAATGCTTAACAAAAGAAAAAGAAATAATTTCTAAAAACAATTCATCTATGTTAAAATGGCAAAATGCTCACATTGTCATTTTCATGGTCACAATGCATATACTTGTCCTATAAAGAAAATAAAATCTTTTAAAATTAGACAAGTATGGGTTTCTTTGGGAACTAAAGACATTGACACTAACAGTCTAGGACCCAAAGCAATTTGGGTACCAAAATCCAAATGAATGTCTCTTGTAGGTGTGTTGGAGCAATGGTGATAAAAGTAAATGATTTCAATTGCTCTTGTCACACAAAAGAAGAATGGGTAACCTCTAACCTTAAAGCTTATTGATTTTGTAAATTGGTTGCCTACTGATTTTTATGCATGCATGAGTATTGAGCATGAATGATAACTTGTTTTTTTTCTATCTCATGTATGTTGAAAATATGGTATGATGAACATTCCTTTTAAAATGATTTTTTATAAAATTCGAGTTCATCATAATATTTGTTTTTGGTCAAGTTGTGTTTAAAAATGTTTTTCTTTTTTAATTTTTTTCTTGACCTTAATTTGTTTTAAATGTGTGTGCATGTGTTCTTCATTACCTATGATATTTCTCTAACAATTGATATCTATGTTAAATGTATAACACTTGAGAATGCTTTATGCTTATGAGTTGTAATGTCTTATTTGTTGATATTGCATAAAGTATGTTTGACTTGGATTTATTGAATTTCATGAACTACTAATGTGTTTTCTTTCATATCTCATTGGAATTCAATATTCTTTTAAGTGTTAAACTTTTGTGTCAAAAGTTTTCTTGGAATGCTTTTATTTTTTGGGAGTTTTGATTTTTCAAATGATTTTATGCTAAAATATTTACTTACTCTCCATTGTTGTTTTGAACCATTAAATTTGAATTATTTTTTATATAACAAAAAAGGGAGAAGTATAAGTTTGAAAAATTCAATTTCTCAATGAAAAAGGGCAACTTTAATATTTTCTAAATATTTATCTTTTTCATGAAATATTTTATTAAAGGTGAGTTTTGCCAAAACAATTTTCAAATGTTTTGTTATATCAAAAGGGGGAGATTGTTGAACCATGTTTTATAATATTTTGATATAACAAATTAAGGCAAAATGTTTTTGGAGTTTATTGAATTTGTTCAAAGTTTTCAAAAATAATTCAAAGTCCATTAAACTAGAATTTGAGCACAAAACAGTTTTTCTTGGTACACAGTACCGATACTGTTCTTACAGTATCGATACTACATGAATAGTACTGATATTGTTCATGTGGTACAATACCAAAGATAAGAGAAGTATCGATACTTTCTAGGTAGTATTGATACTACTAGTTGTTTTCCAAATTGCTCAAATTCCAGAATGTAAAATAGGTACCGATACTATAGAGGTATCGATACTACTTTACACAGTGGTATCGATATCATGAAGCATAGTATCGATACTGGTCAAACCCAACGGTCTTCAACGACTAGTTTATTTAAATATTATAAAGGTAGTACCGATACTCGTGAAAGGAGTATAGATACTCCCTGTTCTGGGCAGTTTTATTTTGCAGAAAATTAATCCCCAACGGCTCCAAAACATCCCAACGGCTAGAAATGACCACAAACTCATTCCAACATATAAAACAAGTTGAGCACACTTGAAGAAGGTAGGACAACACCTATCTAAGCAATAGAGATCAAGAGAAAATCTTTTTCACTCTTATTTTTCTCTTGTACATAAGTGTTTTTGAGCTCATTGCAAATCTTTCTATTGTTTTCTTGTGAGCTTAATTCTTGTAAACGCATACCTTTTATGAGGTTTTCTTGTTTAAATTTCTTTTAACCTTTGTAAAGGGGTTTGGTTCTAGTTTAGCCTTTGAAAAGCTAGGGAGTTGTAAAGGTTATCTCTTTGTCCTGGAAAAAGAAAGAACAAATTAGTGGATTTGTTAGAAAATCCTAAGTAAGGAGCTTAGGTAGCAGATGTAGACTTGGTTGAGAAGTCGAATCACTATAAACCCTTGTGCAAATTGTTTCATCTTTATACTCCTTACTCCCTAAACTCAAAAAGCCAATTCACCCTCTCTTGGCAAATTATTTGGTTGATCAATTTGAGCTTCATTGATTCCTAACATATAGACATATGAAGTGGAAGGCTGGAATTGATATAAGTTAGAAAATATATTAAGCAAAAACAATATTTTTTTCACTGTAAATAGAAATTGCTAGTTTTATTAGAAAAGAAAAAGTTAAAATTGTAATGACAAGCTATGATTTTAAGTGTAAACTAAACATATAATTAAGATTTTTTTAATTATTGTCACAAAACTAATATATTAAGATCATATAAGGATCATACAAAGAAATGTTAAAAACTCATCTAAAAGACTCGAACAAAATAAATATGCGAATAGATCTAATTGTATCAACAAACAAACCATAACATTTGATCAAGCAACTGAAAGACCATCGACAATCGTAAATCAGAGTCGAGCATCACAAACTGCATATCCAAATTCATCCGATGGTCCAAAGTAGGATAGATCAACATGATAATAAATAAGTGTCGTGTTGATCAATTGATGCAATGTCAAATTCAACCCATAAAGAAATAAATAAAAGAACAGTCAAACAACCGATAGAAAACATTGAAAACGTGCCAAAAGACAGAGAAAAACATATTATAAAGACAAAAAAATCGTGCCATGAAGACAAAATTATTAAAAATAAAAAATATGTATGATACAAAAAGATAGAAAAAAAAAATAAAAACCACCTACAATTAACCACCAACACTAATAGAAAAACTGCCAAAACAATAATTTTAAAAACAGATAGTGCTAGAACATAATATGAAAAAACCTATGGTCATACAGACATACACATGGATTGGCGCATGATTTTATGTTAGAAGGATAAATTTGAACTTATAAAATTTCAGAGGGCAAACTTGAACTTATAATATTATAGGAGATGAAAACATATTTTCAATAGAAAATACATAAATTTTTAAATTTTAGGGGAAATTATAGGTCAATCCCTGGTCATACAGCATCATGTCATATCATAGGGTAAAAGTGAAAACTTCATACAATTCCCCCCCCCCCCCACCCAGCAAATTAAGGGTGCAACAAAACATGGGTTACAATTAAAAATTATAAGAATTGGATTATCCTATCATTGCGGAAACCGCTCTAATGTAGGTTCAGAGAAACTTGGTGCTGGGGTGTGCGGTCTGCACCCACTGGGCAAGTTGTCATCAATTTGATAAAAGAAGACAGTTTCACTTATAAAAAAATAAATAAGATTATGAGTCACTTTTTTTGAACTAATATACACACAGAGATATTATAAAATAGTTTACCCAGGAGTATATATAATAAAAAGAACTGAACCAATTTTTTTTATTATATCAGTACTCTATTTACCATGACTCAAATATTCAACATTCATTGAACTGCTTAGCTTTTGTCTAAATTGCAGAAAAATAAATATTTAATATTTTATGTGTATACGAATAATTATAAATATAACATGAAAGATGATTGTTAAAACAAATAAACTATAAAAGTGTGGAGAACTAATTGCATTGTATACATCATATTGCCAACTTGATTAACGTGTCTGGCTCCGGCATCGTCTTTGAATTATTGTACGATTTAAGGGACCCTATATAAAAAAGAAAATACTTGACAATTCCTTGCAAGCGTGCTTTGACGAAGACTTGCTAATTTGATCTTCCCCCTTTGCTTTACAAACCAAAGGCGTTTTGATTTGATTTCCCAGTCAACTAACTTGCTTTCATTTCTCCGAGAACTGTCCGAAAGTCACATCTCGCCCTTTTGGTCCCCTCTTGTTTTGGCCTCTATAAAACCATCCCCTCTAACCCACATTACAACTTGCAACATACATCTAAAGCAAAGGAATATTAGTTTCTTTCTTCCTTTCTAATGGCGGCTAGGGGTGAATATGTTAAGGTAGTTCTAATTGATACTCAGTACGTTGAAACAGACCCCCACAGCTTCAAATCTGTAGTTCAAAAGCTTACAGGCAAGGATTGTTGCGTTTCATGGATTGGGGAGAGTTCATTTTCCGCTTTAAAACCCCAAACAAAGGTTGCAGCTGAGAGGTCATGGAGCACTGCCACGCCGAGCATCGGTGGTGGTGGTGCTTCCGTGTTAACCAAGGGCTATTCTTTTAAAGATTTGGATACAATGATCTTGGAGGCGCCGCCGGTGGACGAGTTGAAATGGCTGTGGACTGACTAGCTAATGATTTGCATTCTTTTTGTTTTACTACCGCTTGATAATTATTTGATGTCCTGAAAATATCTTTTTTTATAAATAATTATGAAGTTGTTAGTTCAATTTAAAGATTTTTATTTCTCCATCTACTCCCCTATACAAAGAATGGTTTTCCTTTGTTTGAGCTTGTACGGTTCTAAGAAAATTGTAATTGCTGCTGCGATTGAAGAAATGAGTGGCGATTCCAGACTCCACGGCATGTATGAGAAAATACGTGGTGCATTTTGGTTCTAGCTTTCAAGCTACACCTCTCCTTCCTAGTAAAACCCGGCAGTCAACGATATTCTTTTAATCTAATTTAGATACCAACAACATAGTATATGAATACCATTGAGAAATATTGTATACAAATATTATAGAAACAATACAGATTTATTAATATTTTATTTTATTTTGGTATAATAATTAATCAATGATTTTTTATCTATTAATCGACTAATAGAAATATATTCTAATGCACATAGTATATGAATTAATATGTGTTATTTATTTTTATCTTAAAAATAATATATTTATTATTTCTCACCATTCATCTATTGAATTCCAATTAAAAGGGAATTAAACCATTAAATCTGAATAAGTAACAAAATCTAATGCATTTCTTCGGCTTTAGAAAAGATAATTTTTTTAGAAGAGAAATTATCGACGTCAAAATTAAAATTTAATATCAATTACGATTAAAATGATGTTTAATACATATTCTCACATACATGATAGTTAATACCAATATAAATAACAAGTCTACCAAACACATTGTTATTTGAATTAAATTAAATATTTATGTAATAAACGACTTATCATATAACTTTCAAACATGTCAAATATTGCATAAAAACACTATGCAAAAAACATAAATATATAAGTATTTTCTATAAAATATATCAATATAATAAAAAAATTAAGTATTTAAAATTTGTTTAAACATACAATACATTAACTACTATTATCGCATCATATATGAAAGTAAACAGCATCATGAATGTAATACAAGTATATGAATTATTAAAGCATTTCAATCTATTAAAAATTAATTAAATAATAATCTAAAACGAATTTTAAATGCAAAATATCATATTTAAAAGCTCACTCAGAATCCAAGTCGCTCAACGTACTTTGTTACATTATTCAAGTAAAATACTTACAGCATTCCCCAGAAACTGTAAATGATTATATTTCTGGAGAGGGATAAGCCCAAAACTTGAAGACCTTTGACCCATTTAGCTTAACGCTGGCCCAACGTACCAACAACCAAATATTGGGCTACTTACTGACTTTCTTCAAGTTAAGCAAAATAAGATAAGATATTTTTTAAAGAATATTTTTTTAAGTATAACTATGATATACTCATGGGTAAATGATGCATTTAGTACTTAAATTATTAGTTTTAGTTTGTTTTAGTATTTAAACTTTTGATTTTTCAAAATCATACCTAAAATTTAGTTTTTATTTCATTTTAGTACCCTATTGCCAAAAAAGTTTAGTTTTTGTTTCATTTTAGTACTCTCGTTTAAAGTTTAACATTATATTTTGAAAATATTTAAATTAGGTACTAAAACGGACCAAAACTGATAGTGTAGGTACTAAACGTGTTAAGTTTTTAACAATGGCGTACTAAAATAAAATGAAAACTAAACGTTAGGTATGATTTTGAAAAAATTGAAAGTTTAGGTAGTAAAATGGACAAAAACTGATAATTAGACAAATTCATTCATGATTATCATAAGTAAAAATATAACAGTGATCGACCAGTGATAGTCTGATAAGCAAAAACATAAACAGTTATCCAACGATATATAGAAACGGATCACTCCAACATCATCGAGCACCAAAAGTAGAGAAAAACCTGAAAAATATCCAAAGCGGACGAATGAAAAACCAATCTCCCCTTAATTGAAATCCCATCCAACATAGATATTCGACAACCAAAGAAATGTCATATACAAACGAACCAAGAAACTAGGCATCGGGAAAGTAACCAAACCAAGAAATCATGTAGAACCACAAACCTAGAAGAATACCAATAAAAGAAATATACACTGAAAGTCCAAAAGCACTTATAGCCATAATACCCTTTACTAGGAAAAAAATCAAAAGAAAATGTTATTATAAATATGTTAAAATACAACTTAAAACTAATAAAATTAGATAATGATCAACTGAAAAAGAATAAAAAAATGACAGGGAAGTGGCTGTAAAAAGCCACCACTGCTGCCTTGAGGTTAGAACCTGCCAATGAAAAGTAACTGATACAGAGAATTGTTTTAGTTTGAACTTAACATAAAGAGCTACCATAAATGACCATTCAACTCAGTTGGTAGAACACAAGGTTCTTAACCTTGAGGTTGTGGGATTGAGTCCATGGAGGGCATTTCATAATTTGGAGGTCTCCTACGGAAGATGTTATCAACCTAGCCTACTATCTTACCTCCCCCTTACCCCATTACATATGGGAACAAGGGACAACCATTTTATAAAGAGCTACATGACAATGAATACCTAAATCATTTGTTTAACCAAATGTCCATTCTTGCTTTCAATTTATTTTTTGATCGTCTTATCTTATCTCGATAGTCTTTGTTACAAGGAAATGCTTCCCTTTTCAAAGTAAAATGGATTCAACAGTCACCTACGCACCCTTTGAAAATTTGGGTAATGATTCATACATTTTAAAGCCAGATTATACCTAATGTTGGGTATCCATGGGAAGAAGCATGTTATTGGGCAAACATATGCATGTGAAACTACTATTGATTCATCAGCCATCCCCTTCTCTTTCCCTTCCATGAAATAATGGTTTCGTTTTTAATATGTAGATGTTCGATTTGTCCGGGTTGTTATTCAAACTTAATTTAGGTTCTATTATTATTATTTGTTGTTATAATTTTAAGTTTGGTGTTATTTAGTTATTATATATATATATATATATATATATATATATATATATATATATACAGTAGGTATTTAAATAACTAAACAATTAAAAATGCACTAAATATTTTATTTTTACAGGCCTACATTAAAATACAACAGGCTCAAGCCCAAAATAGCAGCCCAATATTACAGCCCATTTGAGGACAGCCTAGACCCGTTAGGGTTTCCTGTCACCATCTTCATGCGCAGCTAAGCCTCCACCGTTGGATCTGTCTTCATGATCCAACGACTCTAAATCCTCCCAGAAGCCTCCACCGTTAGATCGGAGGTGATCCAACGGCTCCCAACGCACTCAGAACTCCAAGACAGTGTGTGAACCAACCGAGTGCTACCCACGTGAAGTCCCTCGGGCCGTTCCCCATCGCCCGTGCCCAGGCTGCTGAAGCCCCGTGACCAGCTTGTGCCCGTGACCTACTCGTTCCAGAGCCTGCAAGCGCACCAAACGAGAGAAGAAACAGACGAAAACAAAACTAGAGAAGAGGAGATCAACTAGAAATAACGAAAGGAAGGGGGGTAACGGGCTCTCTCGGTCATCAGCAACAGAGAAGAACAAAAAAAAATAAAAACGAAAATTTCTCAATCATAAAAAAAACAAAATACAACCCAAAAGAACACACAAACGAAATACCCAGAAGATCATTCATCAACAACCAGAGAACAAAACGAAAGCAAAAGAGACTTACCCTTCCGATCCAGTAGCTTTCGTCACTAGGAATCAATACCCGTCTGTGAGAAGGTAAAACTTTTCATCTCCCATTGATTTCGAGTCGTGCATGTTGGTTTTAGGTCTCGGGCTTTAGGGATTTGAAGGGTTCAGTACAGGTTTGGTCATAGTTCGACCGGGTAACGGGGCTAGGGTCGCGTGGTTTAGCAGTAAGGTAAGGGTTTAGTTTAGCCCCTTTGGTTTTGGGTTTTTTCGGAGAGGAGGTGTTCTCGTCGGGGCCGCATGGAGGTAGCAACCATGGCGGTTGCTACGGCGGAGGCGACGGAGGCTCGACTTTCGCGTAGGGTTAAGCGAAGAGAGAAGAGAGGGATTTGAGAGGAAACGGCGGGGTATCCGGCCAGGGTTAAGAGGAAAAATGAGTTAGGGCCTAAAATTTTACCCTAATATTCTACATATTGAGACGCCAAAACGGCGTAGTCTCGCGAGGGTGTGAAACGGCTGCGTTTTGCGGGGTGGGAGCTGTCCGTGTTTTGGGATGGTTGGGTTAATCGTGTGTGAGGTCCAGTAAGTTCAACCCGTTGCATGTTGGTCCCTAAATCCAACTTTATTATAATGTTAATTTCGCCTCGTAATTTCCAGCGTGTTACATTTTAATCCAGAATCATGTTAGGGCTATTTTGATGTTGTTTATACATTGGATATGTAATTTGGAAAACCTTCAATTTAGTCCTATGCAATATTTTGGGTTATATTATGATTGCAGTACATGAAAATGGATTTTTTATGAAAATGAACATGTTGTTTAACTTTTTTATTTTAGTCCATTGTTTAATATTTTAGGTTAATTTAGATTTATTTTAAGTGTATGCATGCATATTATTTTGAGCCTGTAATTCGCATAGATGTAGGTGTAATTTATTTTTATAAGTATGTTGAATTCATTTACTTTAATCGCATATTTAATTAATCTTTGCATTAACATCACTTTGTATGATTCGCATTATAGCCTCACGTGCATGATTCGACTCTTGCTACATAATTGGATTAAGGGTAATATATTTTTAATTTAAAACTGTCGGAATGGCTTCTCTCAACTTACTAGAGAGTTGTTTTGACAATTTTAAATTAAAATTGTATCCCGTCAGTAACGCCTAATTAAATTTGGATCTATCACTTTAAAATTTGGAATGAAAGAAAAAGAAATATTCGGCTATTTAAATTATTTGAGAAAAGATCGTTAGAACTCACCTAAAGATCTGGTCTCGATATTTTTAAATAATCGAATATCCTTTATCTTTCTAATGACTTGGTAATTTTAATTTAACTTATCTCGTTGTTTTTTAATGTTATAAAATTAGCATTTTTGTTGTTCAAAGGGATCATTAATCAAATTAAACTCGAACTTGTGAAATTCGTTGCA